ATGTGAACGGCCTTTCTTTCAATCACGTAACTGAAACGCTTTATCGCTGGAAGGCGTCATTTATAGAAACGGTCTATTATGTTGGTCTCTCACAGAATCAGATTTATAATGAGTGAAATAAGTTTGCCATTTTTTTCAATGTATTGCACAACATGTTGGTCTCATTTTAATATTAACAGTCTGTAAAGCCGCGAATAAGAAATGTGTTGGATTTTACGATGCAGCTGAAAACTGCTTCTCACATGGTACAGAGGCCGGACCGCATCCAGGACCAGGTGAGTTCATTAATTATTCATCTAATAACTCCATAACAAACACTAAGCAGAAGAAGAATATAATTTTTAAAATGCTAAGCTAAAAATGTCATGATTTGTGTACAAAGTACATAATTCCATACAAGCACTCGGGAATATTTCAAGTCATTCTCATCGAAATCTTTGCGGCCATTTGCATCTAAGGTCAATTGAAAGAAGTGGTGCTATATTAATCTGATTGGTTCTCTTTGAAAGAGAAATAAACATCATACTCAATCTACGTTCTTACATATAATAATCCTTACCTAATTATCTCCTCTTCTCCTAAACTAGGGTTGCTTAATGGCTGGTTCGACGGCTGCTTGGCATGGGCCGACACACCTTTCCGTAACTTAACAGTAGACTTCACCGAACCATATTTCGATGTCAGAGCGACTGAAGCACGGTTTTATGTCGCCGAAGGTAATCCAAAAAGCTTTGATCCCACAAATTTTAAAGATGCTAGCCTGGGTAAGTACAAATACATATGCGTGCAGACAGTAATAATTCTCAGTAATATGTTATTTTACATTATTATTATAATCATTGTTTATTTAAAATCATTATAATTATTATTAGGTATTCTCACTGCATGGGCTCATGAATATCGCTGCTTGCGAACTAGCCATCCAGGAATCTTCCACGATATGACGAGAGAGCACATCAAGATGGCGAGCACAAAAATGGAACTGCGTCGCATGATAGTTGCTGGTGAGGTGAGGCGATGTTGCATTTTATATATTACAAATATCACGCTTGTGTTCGTATTATGTAGATTTCTTAAATTTCCATCTTAGTAAACTCATCCATTTGACACGGTTATCAAATATTTGAATATACTAGTATGTTAACAATTTGTTGAATTCTTAGAACGATTTTGTTATTTGTTTTCAGGTCGATGCTGGTTTTGCCAATGAGGTTATAATGGACAGAATCAACGAGGCAGGTGGGCTTGAGAAGGTTGGAGATCCATTCGCGTGTGCATCAAATCCACTTACCGGAAAAACCACTATGCATGTTATGACTCGTAAAGGAAGTGACGTACCAGAATGGTGGAACAAAGCATTCCATACTATCAAAGAAAATGGAAAATATTACAAATTGTGCCGTGATATTCAACAAAGAACTGGTAAGAATCAAAACATTCACACGTTCTCTTCAACATTCAATGCAGAAAAAATAACAAAAGTCAATACAGAGTAATTAGCCTGTTGTCTCTAATATGACGTCTGTACTAATTTCAAAGCATCCGTAAATTGAAACTGCTAATTGACCATAAAAGCAAATGGACGCCGAGATCTCGTTGAGATCGAGTGAGTCGAAAGTTCGATTTGTTTTGGCCCTTCAATCATTGTTCAATTCTTTCTTGTCATTGTGTTCACTGTTCCAAAATGATATGGTTATATGATCAGTTGAATGACACGATGACGGAACAAAGTTTAACAAATTTTTAGGGGCACAAGCAAGTCTCGCAACTCTTCACTCTCATCGAAATCTCGGCGGCCATTCTTATTGTAGTATCACCATTCGTCAAAATTGATGAATTTGCAGCAGAAATGGCTAATGATGTTCTTGTGTTTTTTTTTTCAGGCCGGATACCAGGCTGCGTCGATTAGACTCCGGTATTGTTTTTAACTTTAGTACAAATGTACATCTTTTAAAACACAACAGTACAGTTTGCGATTTTTTTTACAGCGTTCATTAAATGCTTACATCATAATTAAGTTTGTGTGTAATTCTATTATTTAATAAAAGATTGTTATCTTATAATTGCCTCAAATTTATGTTGTGTACGTGCGTATGTAAGTGTGTTAGGAGTATTCTATCTGCTTCTCAAGTACATTTAAAATAATAGCGTATGTATGTTATAGACCTTAGATGCAAGTGGTCATCGAAATCTCGTTGAGACAAACAGGGCCACAAGACTTGTTTGCACCTATCTAATAACGTCCCACTCGCTCGCGTCCACTGACCCCGTGATTCATGTAATCCTAGTATGTGGGACTGTGGACGCAATACCGGAATACTCAGTATGGATGGCGGAACAAAAACACATTTTGTAACGAACCGGCTCTTGGCGAGATGACGACGACCAATTGAATTGTGCCAAATCAGTTTTAATTATTTGACGACGTTACCGAATTAAATATAATCAACAATATAATAGTCATTAAAATTTAACTAAAAATACGTGAAATATACATACAAAGAAGAAATTAACTGCCTAGTTCGACTTTTTATTACATATATACTGTCAAATGTTTTTTTAAGGGAACACGTCGCCATAACACGTTCGTTCATTAAGGTATAAAGATTTCACCTAATTAATCTTTCACCCGTCTAATTAAATCATTTTAAATGCAAATTTTAAAATCACGATATCTTCAGCAATGAAACCCTCCTCTCGTATAGAAAAGGTTCCTCAACACACTGGGACTAAGACTGCTGGATCCTAGAAGCTGATTACAGTGTACACACTACATCGCAGCAGCTGAACAAGCGTCTACGTTGTGATATACAGTAGACTTACTGTTACCTGGCACTGATAAATAGAGTGTACTTGTGTCTCCATATATCACACTGGATACTGATCTCTAAAGCAAAGCTTCCTGAATCGCTTAGGTTCCCATTCTGTCTATGTGAAAGTGGATCTACTGAACCGTGGTGGTTACAGGTAACACAATGGAATACATGGACCTAATGATGAGAGGAATCGCAGTGGATATATTGGGCAACGGTTGTTGTGGGAAACATAGTGAACATATTTTACCCCGGTGGCTACAAGTAACACAGTAAACATTCTGGACCTTTGTGGCTACAGGTAACAAACACAGTGTATGTATTGGACTTTTGGGTAAACTCAGGGGTAGGGGTATAGTAGATCCTATCGACTGGATGGAATACAATAAACTACTGATACCCGTTGATTGAAAAAAAACAGTGTACTTACTGGACCCAGGTGACTAGATGACACACAGTGGACTGGGATGTCAAGGCTTCTCAGAAATATAGTAACAGTATTTTCGCCCCGCGCCATAGTGTTTCCCCCAAAACCGCATTTTGTGAAAACTGGGTCGCTATTAACTTCGGGAAGACGCTATTTATATCAGGTGATGTAATGTTCCAAAAATTCAGAACAATCCACTAACTTCCTGCGTTATTATGAGTGCAGTTAGAAAATGCATTTAAAATACCATTGCCATGGAAACATTCAATCAATCTAGACAAGCCTTGTTATCTGGATAGCATCGTGAACGATACCGAAGTTTTCATATCAGTCAAAATTAAGCACATTTTTTGACACTAGTCATAATAGTATTCTGTGGGCAAGAGAAACGACAATATATTATACAAAATACGAAGGAGCCGATACTTGTTTAGTCTGTGGCATCAGGTGGTTTCATGTATGCGTGCTTTGTTTTATCATGTGATCATGTTGTATTCTTAGTTATTCCAGAATTTGCACAATATTTGTAGTTTATACTGGATCCCAAATATAATGCAAAATAAAATAACAACAGCTATTCTTACATTAAGAAATCCTATGCACATTCAAATAAAATAATGCAGGTAGCTTCCAACAAAACGTCAATGAAAATTTTTTAACTTTAGTTTTCAAATGTAAATTTACGTACTTAATTTGGAAACAACCTGAAAACCTCTCAAGATTTGCATGGTGTTGTGCATGGCAATGTCTACAACTACAGTATCCTTCACGACCTTTGACACAACTTAAAATAACAGGTATCACAATAGACTCTGGTACTGGTTGTTGATGGCACATCAGCTTTGGTACTAAACTACCCTCGTAGCAAATTTCCAAATGTGGCACTTACTTCAAATTTGAAGATTTCTCGCCATGAAATAACCAACTGTTTGGCTGCATCTAAACACTAATCTTTTTCTTTCATATGCCCACTATGCTACTCGTGGGGTCACATTCGGATAATGCATGTATCACTGGCAGTATATCACATAATCTGGGACCAAGACTAGCTGCAGCGATGTGGATGTGGATAAACCGCCTGCCTACCAACATCTGTTTGGAACCACAATTTATTTACCATGAACAACATGATGGCAACATATCACTGCAACATCTTGACAAAGGTTTATCGCACGTTTTTCTTCAATCAAAAACGTGTACAAAGATTCTACAGTCACCGTTTTCATGGTAAGAATTCAGTGATGAGATCATCTCATATCCGGTATTGTTTATTGATTTTCCATCATCACAATATTTTACTAGGAAGTTCAGGAAGTTTATTTGATTCTTGGTACTAGAAAAAAAAACTCTTTCGGAATTGCTGGCATATTACAGTTTTAGATTAACTTCGTCTGTTCTTCTCATCAGCTTTTATGTAGTGCGTTATATCGACATGGACTTCATTTGCATATCTATAGCTATATACTAAATGTCATCTGTGTATCACATTCAATTTGGGGTTCTTTCATAAGGGTAGTCTTCCACAATTTGACATTCAAATTGGCCAATGAGAGTGGAACTGGAGCCAGTTTATAGGAGTGAATCTCTTGCAGATCAATATTCTTCTGCTCAGACACAACGTTTTGGTGCTTGTTTCTCGTTGGCGTGTTTAATGGGTTTTTTCAAGCTTGCAAATATTTCGACACTCGATTTGGTCAATGGCACCCAAAAGCTCAACTCTAGCGTAATATTTCAAGGCTACTATTCAATTCGGGAATTATTTTCTACAACCTGTAGTCATACAACTTTGTGGTTTTTGAGTTCTTTGCCTTGCATTGCTTTACATGAGTAGTGGTTCAAAGCAAATCCTGGCCTGTGTCATCATTTTGATGAGACAAAGTTATTCAGAGACTGTATTTCATTTCCAGATGTGTATCTCATTTCATCTTGTAAAATGGCAGCTGTATGGTACAAGACTTGTGTAACAGTATCCATTCTAACACTCTCCCTGTCAGTGGATGACACTTCAGATGACATTTTCTTCAATTATGCAAGAATGTTAACACGTTCTGAAATTTCTGAAGAGGAGCTACAAACAAGTTCACTCCTATTTTTCTGGACTCGAGGATTGAGGATTCTGCGTCATGTATTGCTGGGCTGTTTCTTTTTGTTCACTCCTCAGGTGCTTTTTAAACATTTATAGAAAGGGGTTTATCATAAAAGCTCTGCTTTTATGGATGAGCTTTGGTTCGACCTCGTCAATTAAACCTTAAAACGTAGCATCATATTCCAAGCATGCACTGTACATCTTTGATAGCATCCTCGATGGAACATGTTGACAAATTGGACGCAATGACCAATTTGTCACAGTATATGAACTTCTAGTTTACAACCCTACACATTCACAAGGTTCAGTCTGGACTTCTGAAATAGCTACACGTAAATGAGAGACATTTCTACTGCTTATATAACTAGCATAGCAAGCTGAGAATAATTTATTGAAACTCTCTGGTTCAATATGTTGAAATATTTCATCATTCCTAATCAACTTCGTTATGCCTTTAGTTTTATTCCTGGAATTGTTGTAATATCCAGATCCATCTTACCTACTCTTGTTCCGCTCTAAAGCTGACTATACACCTACTTATAACTTACTTGAACCTACTCAATCTGCAAAAACATTAATACAAGTAATCTTATAAAGAATTTGTAATCACAACAATGTGTTTGTCTGCTAGGTTTTACCATTCAAAAAAACTTATTTAGCTTTATGAATATTTAGCTTTTTTCGATAATTGCACCAGACAGCAAATAGAGAAATCATGTTCACCTGAAAACAATCAATTATAACATAAAAATTGCATGTTAACTAACGTAAATTCACCTGAATAGCTGCTAAATGTTTCCATTACTTCCATTACAAAATTTCGCAATATAGCGGTTTTGTTCGATGATTACAATGGACCAATCAAGGAAATTGTGTCGTCTAAAAACAAAAACATTCCCAATGATGATCAATGAAATCATTCAAAATTTATGCGTCTGACCGCTGCAATCAACAACTTGCAAAATGTGATTGTTTTGACTACGGTATGTATTCATTTAGTGGAAAGCATGAATGATTATTTTACACCGTATTTACTCAATAAAACCCCTAGCCGTGTTTAATTTAGCATTATATGCAAATTACTACCACTTAAGCTGTTAATAAAAACTAGCACAGTAACATAGCAGTGATACAGTATTTGGTTATCAGTCACTTGTGTACATTAGTTGATAGGATAAAAACAATGACATTAGTTATAAATGGTAAATGTTTCGTATTTTTTATAGCATAATCTTGCTATCATCACACATTTTCAGACTATGGAGAGGAAAGTAACGTTACATGTATCTTCAAGTGTTGGCAAACAAATTACCATATTCTATGCACGAGGCGTTTAATTTTGACCTAATCTGAAGAAAAAATGTTATTCCTGAAAAGCATAATCATAAATGGAATAAAATTGTGTGTATGTGACAGGGCTTTATGAGTATTTTGCGTGATTATGCTAGGAACAATTACTGATATATACAAAATGGAATTGCAGTTATTAAAATTTGTTTTTACACCATAGGCGTAGTTTGTTACCATGGTAACGACAATATTATGTTTATTTCAATCGGTATATATACCTCTACAGTCTGTCCTTGGTAGGTTTAAAATGCCCACTTGAACAGTTATATACTGCCACCTGTATATTAATGTACTGGGTCCAAACTACGACTTCGCACCATCAAACCTTTGCCAGTTGCAGTGTAATCAGAAATGAGTTTTGGGTTGCTGGATCCCGGACTGCATGTG